ACCGTTACGCGTGATGGAGCCCTGCTTTCCTGGGGATGGCTGAACACCTGCCTGCCCATGGGAAGCAGTGAATGAATTCCTTGGTTTGCTTTGCTTGTGTGCATGGCTTTTGCTTTACTTATTAAACTGTCTTTATCTCAACCCACGAGTTTTCTCACTTTTCCCCTTCCGATTCTCTCCTCCATCCCACCAGAGGGAGCGAGCGAGCGGCTCTGTGGTGCTTAGTTGCCGGCTGAGGTTAAACCACAACACGGGTCTACCCATTTCCTTAATGATAACAACACTGGATTAGCTATTGCATTATCATCATTCTTACTTGGACCTGTGCTAATTATTTAAGAGCGCAGTAAGTCATATTCCAGCACTCACATCTATGTCCTGGCATTGCTTAATTTACTAGTAGAGATGTACCCAAATGAGAGGGCAGTATATCATGGAGGGAAAAAGTGGTGGCAATGAATGAGAAAAAACCCAACCCAAACAATTCACTTTGAATTGTGAAACCAGGCTTTTAACTTAATGCTGACCTTGCATACAAGAAGAAATATCACCAAAATGAATGAGTCAGAAATGTGTGCTGAAATTGCCACTGAAATGAGTAAGTCAGAAGTGTGTGCTGAAATTATTGTGTGCCAAAGACTCTGGGACTTGTAAACTTAATTACGGCAGCAGCTTCCTTACTAAAAGAGGACTGGAATGTGAAACCATTGTAAGGTGAGACTAAAATAATATTTAGTCCCACTTGTGACTACACAGGAAAGCACTTGCTTCCCAACGGTCACAGAAGTGAGTATTACATGTTATTTGTGCTAACGGTCATTCTCCCTGAAAGAGGGTCTGAAGGAAAATTGTTTGCCTGACTTCTGTTTTTGCCGAGGAAATCTTCAGTTTCTCACATGAACTGTTTCTGCTTATGCTGCTAAAGAATCAAGCTCCCTTCAAGACCTAATGCTGGTAAAGTCACAAAGTTGGTGGAAGTTAAATGAACTGTATTTCACGGTAATAAGAAAGAAGGAAAATTGCAATGAATTGCTCAGTGAAGAATGAGTAATTTAATGATTGATACAGCAAAAGCAGATATTAAAAAAAAAAAATCTTGGAAGACACCCTTACTTCTTATCAAAAGCAAACTTTCCAAATGCAGGGACCTTTCCCCTTGGCTATCTATTTTTGTGAATTAAGCCCTTTTCTCAGACAGTTCTTTTCCATTAGAGGGCAGGTTTCGTTTCATGTATTTATGATAAGTGCAATCATATACTATAAGCAGAATCACTAATTTAGATGAAATACACTTTTTTTTTTTTAACTTTTAGATACAACTGAGCATTTTACAGTAGAATGTATGTCAGCAAAAGATACAGATTCTAAACCAGAATAATTCTAGCGGAAACTGCGCTGCTTTCCTAATTCCTTTTGAGAACTACATATTTCAGGTTATCCTGTTTATTTTCTGGTCCTGTTAACAGTCCAATAGTTCAAAATGTTGATCAAGTTAAGACTAGTTGCATGACCAAGGACTATCCATCTATACTAAGAACATATGAAACACATGGAACCACAGAACTTTAAACAATGCTCCTTAGATAAAATTTTGGGGAAAGAGAGATGTGAAAAGCTAACCATTAAATATATCTGGTACCCAAATGCCAAATTTCAATTAAGGTCTCCGCTATGTTCTAGACCATTATACAAATAGAATACGTACATCCTCCTACAGCTTTTTCTCGTGTGAGTCACTGGGCTGAAGTTACTCCTTCTGCATACGTGGGAGAGGCAGGATGGAATCTGGTTTTCTGAAAGAAGTCACTAAGGAGATGGATGTCCAGGAAGGGAAAAAATGAGCCTGTTATTTTATTTCAGTTTTGCGCTGGCAGGAAGCAGGGCAGTGAACTTGAGGAAGCTATTGGTACATCCAGGAGACTTCGCCAAGGCAGCTGGAATAAACATCTTCAAACTTTCAAAGCTTGGCTGAAAATGAATTGAAACACAAAATTAAGCATAAGTGGGAAATGAGAACCTGCAGCATTTCCTTTTGGAATAATTTTTCATCAATATTTCTTTTCTCTGTAATTGTTTCCTCTTTGTTGCCATTTACTCCACAGCAGCATACAAAACCTTTGACCACACATACAAAATCCTTAGCTCTTTCAAGGAGGTTTCTCACTGAACTTGCAAGGTGTTTTGAAGCTTTCTTCCTTTATACTACAGCTCACAATGAGAATTGGGTTAATTATGTAGCAGAAGTTAGACTTGAAGTTAAGTCTTGCATTATGAGACTCAGCCCGCATGTTTTTATTTTCTGTTAGAATTCTTAAAACTCACATTTGCTACTTGCTCTTATCAAGTGTGTTGTTACTCCTACTTGATCGGCCACCATTGCTCAAAGGAAGAAGAAGAAAAAAAGATAAAGAAGTCCCCTCCTTCCCTGGCATTTCCTAGATTCAAGGGTGAGAATTGCCTCTCCTGGGTATGGAAAAGAATATAAACTGCAGCTGGAAATCTGGAGCTGAGATTTCTGTGCTACCATTGGTATAAACATATTTTTGACCTCACTGCAGTCAATGCATCTTCTTACGCTAGAAAGTATTCATGAGAGTTTCCATATGGAGACCCAGACATTGTCATCTTTAATGAAGGTATCTAGGCCACATGAATATCTTGATCCATGACGTGGAGGGTATCTGCATCCCAATGTACACCAACTGCTGTCTAACATTTTCCCACCCTTATCATAGACTCCTTCTTTGGTTTCACTCCACAAGTCGTCCCACGTAGGTAAAGCACCTACCATGCTGAAGCGTGGTTCTGCAAGAGTACTTTTGGCCTGGTATTTGAACGAATAATTTCAAAAACTTTCCATTTGCATAAATTAATTGGGATTTTTTTAAAGCATCACCTTTACCCGAGTCACAAATAAAATGCTTAAAACTTACTGCATAATCCGTTCTCACAAGCATTAGGGCAATCACCACAGGGTTCTCCTTTTTTGTAGGGTGTCTGAATTGAACTCTGTAGATTCCCCCTGAAACATCAACATCACCAACATAAGCTATAAAGTTACTATAACATATCTGAGAATAAAACTTAATTATATGGCTGCATACATATGTAAATTTACACTCAGTCTTTGGTTATATGTCAACCAATTTTTATATATGTGTTGGGTTTATCTGGAAAGGTTTCAGTAGTGGGGCGGTGGGGGGGTGGAATTTGCAGGGGTGGCTTCTGTGAGAAGACACCAGAAGCTGCCCTGATTTCAGACAGAGCCAATGCCACTGCTGCTCAAAGCTGAATGGCTGCATACATATGTAAATTTACACTCAGTCTTTGGTTATATGTCAACCAATTTTTATATATGTGTTGGGTTTATCTGGAAAGGTTTCAGTAGTGGGGCGGTGGGGGGGTGGAATTTGCAGGGGTGGCTTCTGTGAGAAGACACCAGAAGCTGCCCTGATTTCAGACAGAGCCAATGCCACTGCTGCTCAAAGCTGAGCCAATCAGCGACAGCGGTAGCACCTCTGGATAACATATTTAAGAAAGGGTAAAAACTGCTGTGCAACAGCAACCAGAAGAGAGAGTGAGAACCATGTGAGAGGAACAACTCTGCAGACACCAAGGTCAGGGAAGAAGGAGGGGGAGGAGGTGCTCCAGGCACCGGAGCAGAGATTCCCCTGCAGCCCGTGGGGAAGACCACGAAGCAAGATTTCAAGTAGAATGTGAAAAATATTTATTTGTGATTTACTATTATGAAAATTAGGATTTTTAGGCAAATGAAATTTAATCTGAAAATCAGTGTTACTGATTATTACACTTTTATGTGTTTTGTGCTTTTCCTTGTTTGACAATTCTTTTGATGAGTATTTGTCTTTTCATATTCCTAATACACTCCTCAAACCTGTTCCTCCGCTATGGCTGATGTGCCCTATTACAAATTTCACCATCTCCCGACTAATTTTGATCATGTAATAAGAACTTCCAGAATCAGAATCAATACGTACGTGGGGCAGTACTGGCAGACATAAAAGTATTTGTATTTACTGTTGGGGCAGAAAGCGACAGCACATCCAATTTGATAAGAATTGTGCCAAACCATCTATAGGTATAAGAATAAAAATAATGGGAGAATGAAAAATATACATTTGAAAATCATTTAAGTACAATATGCATTACAGAAACATTTGCAACCAAGTTAAGTCACTTTATTTACCCTTTATAATCAAATATAAGTTTCACCTTGCTGAAAAAAACATTGTTTTTCCCTGCTTTCACCCCTGAACCAAAGAACATTTAGGATACAATGATAATAATTTATCACACATATATACAAAACATTTGAGTTAAACTATCTCAATTATACATGTTTTCATTCAGTTGAAACTGTTGGAGAAGATGTAGGAATCATGATGTAAAATTTTGTATCCCGTGTTTCGTGCAGGCAAAGAGAGGAGGTTATCATAAACCATTGTCCAACTGGAAACTCTCTGAGTCAATGAAACTCTGTAGACTATAACAAACTTATTTATATTTCCTTCCTGATACTTTAATAACCCTATTCTTCCAGTGTCTGAGCAATTTTCAGGTGTTAAACAAACAAATAAGTTTCTTCCCTTTGCTTCTTTCTGAAGTTTTGAAATACCAGTATCTTTACTCTTTGCTCCATGAAGACACTTAGCCTATTATTTTAATTTTAATTCTGTTACTTTGAAAGCTTTCATCTCGTTTTGTCAGAATAACTCTCATGTCTCCATTGTACTTATTCTCTTTAAAGATAATGAGAGGGTAAAAGTTGCTTAGCTAACATATAGATATTTATTTATTCAGCCTGAAATATAAAAAAATCGCATCTACCTGAGTGTAATGGCCAATCACAGCACCTTCTGTTTTTGCTCCAGTTCCGTATTTGAAATCTTTCTCCTCATTGTACCAGGCCTGAATAACATCTGACCATGAGAAAGGGGCGGATGACATGAAGAGATTTTCACCACATTGTACAGCTGAAAAAAGAAAGGTACTGAGAAATGCATAAAAGAGACACGTGTGAGAAAAAGACAGCAAAAGGTGGTATGATTCCCATGGAAGTTCTCATCCCAGGTGGGACAGCAAGGTGGGTTTTTTTTCCAGTTCAGTGACATCACCCTTTGTCAATACTGAAGTTGTCACTTGACCAGTTTGCAGCATGGCCAGCCTGTTTGGCTGGTAGTTTGCTTGTTGACAGACCTTATGCATGTCTGTAGATACACCTGCACATGTGCACCACAGATTCATGACTGTAATTCTGCTATTAGAAAGTTAGCAACCTAGTCATTATTCAGGTCACAGCTCAGTAATCTTGGGAAGATCCCAATAATTCAAAGCTTACTTCTGGTGCACAAGAAGGTGTCTACACTGTTTTCACCTACTGTTTTTATTCAGGTCCAACCTTACTGCGTACGCATTAGTTTTCATCTGGAATTCACCTTAGCAAGAACCAGAGGATTTGTTTTTTAGGCAAAAAGTATGGGGACTGAAGGACAGTCCACATCTTACACACAGTATAGACAGAAGTCTGTCAACACCACATTGGGCACTGATCACGGCTATTGTTAACATAGTATAGCTGTAACTTCAATAGCCAATGACTGAAGTGTTTATATGAGCCTCCAAGATAGTTACAGGTTGCAAGTTGCCAGGGGATTTAAAAACTATGAGTCTTGTCTTAGAAATTACGCTTAGCACCACCAGCCGGTTTTGGACCTTCACCCTTTGCACCTTCCTTCCCAGACAGTTTCATCCAGCACATGCAAGCTGGTTTTTGCAGTAAACTGGGTCTAGATTCTCTTCTTTCTGATGGATATTTTGACAGAATATGCTTTCTCACTATGATTTTTTTCACCTACTGAAGAAAATGGGATATACCTATGTAAAACTGATGCAATTGGGATGAGATTCTCACTTACTGGGCAGGTTTATATGTAGAATTTTGCCTTTGCCCCATGCACAAACAAAATAACATTGAATATAAATGACATCTCAAAAAACCAAAAAACAAAACAACCCACAAACAAAAACCAAACTGGTCACATCAATAACATGATTGACATTATTCAGTTAGCACTCATGCTTCACTTACTGGTTCTCCGTACGTTAGCAGGACTGTGACTTAAAGTACATTGATTGGCCCATTTTTGGGCATTCTTTGCAGCCGGAGGACACCATTCCTTAATAAAAGAAGAAAATATTAGTAATTCAGACATGTACCAATTAATAACCCCTCATGAAGGAACAACATTTGGAAATTACACTTCAAATCAGAAAAAATCATATATAAAATCCTTTTCTTCCCCTTTTTTGGGGGGCAGGGGGACTAGGAACAAAGTTACTATACACCCAGGAGAAGAATAGAAACTGTGAAGACTGATGAAGACTGCATCAGAAAGAAATGAACAATGCTGTGGCTCCTCCTTTTCCTTCTCTTTTTCCTCCAAAAGAAAGAGACATTATTGTTCATACACCACAGTATTTTCCAGACTTGTTTTTCCACCTGCCCAGCTTTATATTTCTCTTGATGCTGGCCATGCCCAATCCTTAGGAAAGGTCCGAAGGGTGAATTTGTGCCTAAATAATATAATATGACCTTGTATACAGTCCTATATCTCTCATAGGGTCCGTTACTCATTCCAAACAGATTTACAGCACAAAACTTACCATCTTCAACATGTTGCTGGCAGTTGGGTTTACTCCTCTCCTGAGGGTATTATGTCTGTCAACAATCAGCTTCTGCTGACCCGCTTTGCTAGTTGACAGAGCATCAAAACCTTCAGGTTCCTAAATTGAAAGAACATGTTATATTTCTTTTTTATTTGAATGTAACTAAATCCTGAATCATCTCTAGGAAATATTAAAATACCAGAATACTGATATCAACCAAGGAGATGATCCCTGCGATGGAGAAGGTACTGTGATACACTCTGTCTCCGAAGTATCTCTAGGGGTGCTTCCATGTGGAATAGCACTTTAAGTGGTTCCACAGCGTAGAGCTTAGCAGTAATAACACTGGTTCCTGTGTCATATCTGCCAACCCTCTGTGGATGGCTGAGCTATCCTGGAACATCTCACGTGCCTGTAGACTCTTAAATTTAAGCAACTGAGTCAGACTTAATTTACTATTATTATAATTTCCTTCATGAGGTTTTGAGGAAACAGGATCTAAAAATCAGCTGAAGACATGAATGTGCTTATGATGTGTTCCCCTTCTTCAGTATTTTAAACATGCCTATCAATGTTTTTTCATTGAAGAAACCTGTTGTTTAATTACAGGATCGTCACAGACCTCCCGCAGTACTTCATCAGGACATCCCACTGAACAAAAAAGTGTGTCTGTGTTTTTCATGCCAGAGATTTTCTTCCTCTCCTGCCATAACTGATAGCATTTCTCAAACTTTTCATGTGTTTTTTAATTAAAAAATAAGCATGTGAAGAGCTCAGCCTCCTCTGAGGTTGTACTTTTCATGTGTTTTTTAATTAAAAAATAGGCATGTGAAGAGCTCAGCCTCCTCTTTACAACCATTCTCACTAGTCTTCTAGACGGTAGCATGGAGAGCAGAAATTGAAGAATTAGGGGAAATGTAATCAAGCCTTCAGTCACATTAGTGTTTCTGAAGCAGAAGTAGCAAACTTCAAACTTCAGACTAGGTATGGGTTGGGAGGAACCACTCTAAGCGTGCATTGGGTATGTTAATTTGTTTAGCTATTTGAGGGAAATGAGTGATACACGTTGAGAGGATGGGACTGTGAGCAGAGGGAGAGGCGCATAGCTCGGGACCTGTAGGACAAGAAAGGGAGAGAGTTAGGCAATTGCTGCTTGTAAAAGTGTGGGGAATTAACAGGAAGAGGGCTGGATCTTTGGGAGATCCAGATTACTGGATCTGTACATGGGAGCTTCTGGAAAATATAGTTATCTGTGACCCAACTCATAAGTAACAGTGAGCCTACAGATGGTTTAGTGTGCAAGTGTGGAACCAGTCTACTGCTTTGAAATTAAACAGACTGCAAGGATAAATGCTTTCCAGATCCTAGATACCTAATCAGACTCTTTCTGCATATGATCAGTGTGCATAGGAAAAGCTGTATTCAGTCAGACCACGAGTGCCTTGGGTCCCATCCAGATTTTCTGAGTACAAAGTGTGGATCCTACCTCTCCAGTGGACAGAGGCAGCACAGCTGCGAGACACACGAACACCACTGGCAGAATCATCTCTGGAAAGGGGAGAATGACGATTTAATTTATTTTTTATGGAGCTTTCATTTCTCTGAATACATAATTCATCTTCTGTGTATTTCCTGGTTTTTTCTCAAGTAGCAAGGCAATGTTTTCTTTCTCTCCTCCCTCTCTCTTCCTCCCATTTTTAGAAGTAAAAAAATAAAATTCATTCCCCCTCTGCATTTCCAAATTCCTATGAATCAACTGCTTTGTACATCTCTTACTTCCAGCTGTAATCCTGGCCAAATACCTTCACCTGAATTCGCAGTACAGGAGGACATTCATGCTGCCTTTCCTGTAGGAAGCCTTGGGCTCATTGCCACGCTGTGGAATGGCTGAGGTGGGATGCTGCTTTTAGCTGGATTCTGTGTCTGCGTTAGTCCGAAACTTTCCCTACTCCCCATCACCTGCGTTGAATGGACTGCATTGGTTGAAAAGGGTGTTAGACACTCAGCCCATGTGCAGACCTGTACGCACAGGTATCCGAGTCTGGATTCAAACGCCTTACTTAATGGCCAGCACTGCGAAGCCTTGCATGCGAGCTGGAGCAGAATTGGCTGGACCAGAAACGGACCAGCACCGGCTTCCTGGGGAAGACTTGTTTCAGAAATCTTTTTTTGTTTTTATTTTTTTAAAGACAACTCTTGATTTTATTACAGGTAGTGTGGAATGGCAGCAGAAATGAGAGCCTTCTCTAATTGAAGAAGCAACCACCAGGCTCTGTGCTCCAAGAGTCTACTTGCTTAGGAGGCTCAAAGCGCCATATGGTCCCACTACAGTGATCCAGGGGGTAATAGGTCACTTCGAAGTTCTGGTGTCTGATTGCAATCAGTCACAGGAGTTAGCATTCGTCTTGTTTCTGCTTAGGTACCTTGGGCAGGCAAGCAGGTGACTAGAGTGGAATTTACTTATTTTGGCATCTTTCCCAGCCTCCCACTCCAAGGGAATTTATGGGCATGTTGCCACAGAGGTATATCATTAGCTGAACTTCTTACTTGGTTTTGAGGGGCTGCTGGTTGTAGTTTTAATTTATTCTTGGGGAAAGGCCAATAGGATTTGCTGATCTTTCTGTATTCAGCAAAGCCCCTTTACCTTGAGGCAACCAGTTTATACAAAACACAAGGTGCTCCGGCTCATGGAGAACATGTGGGTAAGAAAAACTACCCTTTTCCAAATGGTACAGCAAGGCCCATTTTCCTCACCGGCTTGCTTATGTTGCACTGGAGGCGACCCACAGTCCCCAGCCTGTAGGCAGGGGAGCTACTCCAGCTCTGCTAAGGAGCAAAGCCCGTCGAAATGGACTGGGACTATGGACAGCTGTAGCTCAGAGGCCAAAAACCGGACAGATCAGCCACAACTGTACAAATAAACTCTCACAGCCTCCAAAATAGGGTGGCTTATTCCAAGCACTTATAGTTTAGGAAAGATCTAGTTGATCCGGGAGAAAAACATGCTGGGAACTATTCTGATAATTAACAGCGTAAGTCATTGATTTCCTGTTCTTGGTATTGCCTTATGTCACTTAATGTTTAATTTTGACATCACCTATGCCTCCTTGAAGCGCTTTAGAATCACAGAAGTTTTTTTTACTAACTTTTCTACCACTTATTCCTCAGAGCCGTTACAAAACTTTGCAGTGTATATGACCTTTAGCAGTAAAAGGCTATACTCCCAATAACATGAAAAATGATTCTTTTCACCTCATTTCTAACTAGAAAATAAATAGAGGTGGGGGTTATTTTTAGCTGTACTCAAGTTACAAGCAAAAATACATTTTTTGAGTGTAAAATGTGACGATATGCAAATAGAAAACAACCCTTTTTGCACCTAAACCATGTAAAAACAAATTCTCCCTTTCAATGGAAAAATAACTCTTCACTGAAATTGTGAAGCTTTCTATTTTGCAAACCAAACTGAAGAAGCTAACTTAAAGACATGGGCAAAGTATTCATTCACTGTAAATTTTTCTATGAATTAACTTACAGTTGAATATAATTGGTAATTTAATACATGATACAAGTTTCAAAATGCCATTGGAATGCTTTTTAAGACCCAGTGGGTTTCCTTCTCCAAGATATTAACATACTTTTGGCAATCCCACTGATTTCAACCAAATGCTTATAGTTTATGAGATGTAAATTTAATTGCTCTGCATTAATTTCTAGGCACTGGTCCTAAAATCAGTCTCTCTGTCCCCCTCCCCTGTTCCCCCTCAATCAAACACAAATCAGGACATGTGCCAAGTCTTACTGACTTTCCTGCAACTCCATCTGTGTACAGGGATCTGCCACTGAAAGATGGTGCTTTAGCATCCCTGGCTTGTATGAGTTTAGCAAACTTGTGTGAATATGTTTTTCCCATCCCTCCTCCTAAAAACCCCCCCCCTAAAAAAAAAAAAAAAAATAGGTGTATCCTAAATTATTCATACAATTGAATACAATTGAAAGGACATTCCCGTTATTTTTTTTTATCCTTGAAAAACACCTGAAATGGAATAATACCAGCTGTGATTTCACTTATACAGCACTGTCGCACAAAGTCCTACTTAGCAGCCACCTTGCACAAGAGTGGTAAGTTGCACAAGTAGCAATTTCCCCAGTCTGAAAATAAGTGGTGATAGCTACATATAGCAATAGAGTATACTGAACTGAATATATATCCAAATCAACATGTTCAGTCTGTCTCTGTCTCTTTCTCTATGTACATATAATCTGCCAAGATACTGCTTCCTTGCATACAGATGGCTTTTCATCTGTTTTTGATTGTTCATCAATTTTCTCTCCCTTTTTTTCAGCTCATGTTACACTACTGCCTATGTAATGCTTATTTTTCACTGAATAAAATCATCTTTCTGTGACTGTCCTAAATTGTTCAAGAAGTCTTCTGACAATAGGTTGCATTTTAATACATGAAAAAAACTAAATACTTTAAACAAACAAATCAGTCTAAATTCTACCTTTCATTTCCAGGACGATCAGAAGTTTCTTCCGTCCTTCTTCAGCTGGTTGTGGAAGTGACCAGAGTTCTTCACCAGAGGGTGATTTATAGCTCTTCTGTTTCCTGATAGGACCAGGTGACTCAGCATCACAGGTATTATAAAATTCAAATAGTGACCAGATAGAACAGCGCATTTGTCAGGTGCACATTCTTCCAAGAAGGAGGTTGTTTGCTTGTGTTCCATTTTCATTTCCTCTTACTTCTTGTATTGGAAGAGATGAAATACTCTGAAATGAGTTTTGTATGCATTGCTCCTTATACGTGAAATTTGCAGTCAATGTGAACGCCAGGTACAAAGGCTCTCTGCTAATGATTGACGCATCCAGTTGTAGTGAGACTTGATCGTAATCTCCAGCAATGCAAATAAACTCAGCTGGCTACTGAGGTGTCTCCTGACTGACATTGTGGTAACCAAGATGGAATCTTGCCTATTGATTTTTCCATGGGGGTAAAAAAAGTCTTGGGCCAAGTTCCTGTTCATACTATGGCTTCTTTACATCAATCCTATAGTAGAAAAGTCAAAGGAGACAAGGATATTTCTGTAATTAATACTTTTACCCAGTATTGGATAAAGATTAAAAGATTATTGTGTGCACTAGCATTAAAACACAGGTAGTAGTTTGATTTGACATTTCCCGGTACATGGAGTAAGATGAGAATGGGTGGAAATACTGCCAGATCAGAAGGGTATTGCCCTTCGGCAATAAGGCATAATAAGAACACATTTTCAGGGGTGGCGGGGGAAGGAAGAGGGGAAAGGAGGCTAGTAGATCAACTTTTACTAAACATTCAAGACTTCACATGTCTTTCTTAGATCTTCTTTCAACAGTAAGCCTAATACTGATTTTCTGATTAGGGATAACAATGTATTTCAGTTCAGCGAAATACTGAGGCACTTCAACTGTTTCTGTCCACATTTAGTCTCAAGTAATTACTGACCAGAGCAGCTGTCATTGTCTGCTTTTATATAAAACGTTGCTCTTTTTCTATTTAAATTCAGGTCTTCCTTCCTTGCAGTCACTCAACTCCTACCCTAGTCCCTTGAGAAGTGCGCCTTCAAAACAAGCTTTTGCTTTTCATTACCTGGGAAACCAGTATATTGGCTCTACCAGACGAAATGGTAGTGGTGTGATTTGTTGTTTTGTAATTATATGGAAAGGAACACACTGTCAACAAGTTTGTGGTTGACACCAAATTACAGGGAGCAGTCAATATGTTGGGTAATAAGGCTGCCGTTCAGAGGAATCTCAAAAAGCTGGAGAAATGATTTGACAGAAATGATCTGAAAGTAAACAATTTGGAGAGACCAATTGTCTAGGGAGCAGTTCTAACAAAAAGCACGTAAGGGTTGTTGGTGGATGACAAGTTGTGTATGAGTAAACAGTGCACCCTTGCAACAGTATGGGCTGACCATGTACTGCACTGCATTAGCCGCTTTGTAGTGAGAGTCGTGAGAACAGTGATTATACCCACATCTTCAGCACTTCTGAAACTATGTCTGGTCTACTGTGTCCAGTTTTGGAGTCCCCAGTACAAGAAAGGCATTAACAAACTGGAGTAAGCTTAGCAAAGGGCCACTATGTCAGCAAGGGGAAAGGCAGAGGTGGACTCTTTTACAACATGGACATGAGGTAAGGGCCATAGATTGCAACCCTAACTAGATATAAAGAAAAATAATTTTTACAGTGAGGCTTGTTAAGCACTGAAGCAGATTGACTAGGGAGGTGGTAGATTTTGCATACTTGGAGATATTCAAAACTGGACAAGGTGCTGAGCAATCTAATCTAACTTTCGAGTTGGTGATGCTTTGAACATGGTATTAGAGCAGATGAGTTTCAGAGGTTCTGTACAACCAGAACTGTTCTGAGGTTGTGTGATTTTTATATTGTTTACACTGGAAAGGCACCAAATGAGACTTGTCTTATTTTACTTGTTGACAGATATGCCAATTTAATTTATTACAGTGGGAACCTCTAATTGTTGTACGAGAAAGCAAG